CTCCGTTCACTGCCACGCTCTTGGCGATCCGGGGAAAAGTCCATCGTCACATTGGTCTCCGCCATCAGAGAGTCTGTCGCCAATTGTGCGACGTGAGCGGTGAAGAGGGTGCACCGGACCGAGAGCAACAGGGAGAACCTGTGAGTAAACCTGCGCGAGCCCTCACGAGTCCCCAATCCCAGCGCTGCCCATCACAGTGGCCAACTGCGTGACTCGCCGTTGGCCTTGCAGTTGGGGTTGAGGCACTGCTGTGACCCCGTGCTGGTGGACTGACGACTCCCTTTGATCCAGAAGCAGACGAGACCGAGGACCCCGACCGATCCCGCGCGCCGTCCTCGAAACGGCGACAGGGCAGCAATCGAGTTCCGCACACGCCCAAACCGAACCCCCACCAGGAAGGCCTGATTGGACTTCCCGGAACCCGTTTGGTACCTACCGTCACCCGCAGACTTTGTACCGGCAACGGTAGCGGGAACGCAGCACCCAAGGTAAGTTGCCAACCTTTGATGGATGGTGGAGCCCCAATTGCCCACCACCCCTCGATGCTTTTCTGATTCGGGCAAATAGAGCATCTATCTCCCGGATTGTCTCTTCTCCCTTATCCTCAAGCCACCACAAGCATGTGTGAGTGAATATTCTTTGTTTTTTTTTTCGAACTTGCTGCCGCACATCTCCCTCGTTCCCGTCCTCGCAAGACCGACACGATCAAACATCAATCAGCACCCCTTGCTTGGGTGCTCGACCGCCGATGCAATTGCCCGCTGCCATTGCTGCCAAAGACTGTCCTCCTCCCCTCCCACCTCCCTGTTCCGAGATAACATCGCCATGAGCAGTGCGCATTGCTAGGCGCACCCATTCCTACCTCCGAACTCAGCAAGCCGTCATGTTCATCCGCTTAACAAGTGCAGTCAACGTCGCCGTACGCAAAACGTTCCGTCGAGCCGCGACCGGTAAGGCCCAACCGGCGCCCAACGGCAACGGCCATAGCTACGGCCAAAACGGCAACGGTGCTATGGAGACCACGCCGCTATTGCCCGGAGGGCACGTCGCCCAGGAGGACGACGAGTCGTCTTGGCGCGCAGTCTTGTTCGACCGGAAGCGCACGCCCGGCACCAATAGCCACAATCCGCTGGTCTGGATACCGGCGGTCATATGGAATGTGTTCAAGGTCACACTTCTGAGTTGTACGTATACCCGAGCCGAGAGCTTCTTGCTGGTGCGCCTGTTTCTAATGCGCCAGCGTTGCAGCATGGATCAACACTCTCCTCGTCTTCGTGCCCGTTGGCATCTATGCCGGAATCAAGGAATGGGGTGCCGCTTGGGTTTTCTCTCTCAACTTCTTCGCCATTATCCCGCTGGCCGCCGTCCTCTCCTTTGCGACAGAAGAAATAGCGCATCGACTGGGTGAAACTCTGGGTGGGCTGGTAAACGCCACCTTTGGCAATGCAGTCGAGTTGATTGTATGTGACTAAGCGCTCAAAAGGTTTGCGCGAATATGTGCTGATATTGGGGAACAGGTCAGCATTGTTGCGCTGCGCGCCGGCGAGATCGAGGTCGTACAGGCGTCGATGCTTGGGTCGATCTTGTCGAATTTGCTGCTCGTTCTCGGCATGTGTTTTCTCCTCGGCGGCCTTTACAACATGCGCGACGCTTCAGGCCTCGGTACCGAGCAGAGCTTTGCGCAAGGCACGGCGCAGACGACTTGCTCCCTCATGGCACTCGCGTCGGCGTCGATGATCATCCCGGCCGCGCTATACAACGTGATGGAAGGAACCAATAACGACAAGGATAAGGAAACTAGTATCTTGCTTCTTTCACGCGGAACCTCGGCCATCCTCCTGCTGCTGTACTGCATGTACCTCTATTTCGCCCTTTACACGCATAAGCAGCTGTTCGAGTCCGAGGCGCAAACTCCGGTGGCAGGAGAGGCGCAAGAGGAGCACGAGGAGGTTATCCTCAGTCCGTGGGCGGCCGCGATTGTGTTGATTGTCACGACGCTTGTCATTTCGGTTTGCGCAGACCACATGGTCGCCAGCATCGACGACCTAGCGGCAACGGGAAAGATCAGCAAGACATTTATCGGTCTCATCTTGATCCCCATCGTGGGCAACGCTGCAGAGCATGTCACAGCTTGCGTGGTTGCTGTGAAAAACAAGATGGACTTGGCGATGGGCGTTGCAATTGGGTCCAGCATTCAGATTGCGCTGCTTGTTACACCGGCATTGGTTATGCTTGGTTGGGCAATTGGTCAGCCGATGACGTTGCACTTTGAGACGTGTAAGTTCCCCTGGCCGGATTGAACGGCGCGAGCTGAGCCTCGTTACCAACGTCGGCTTTTTCCCGGGCTGTGCACCCGATCACCGTTGTGGCGCACGCTAATCAGACCACAGTTGAAACTATTGCTTTCGCTCTCTCGGTTATGGTAGTTACTTACACCGTACAGGACGGCAAGTCCAACTACCTCGAGGGAGCCATGCTTCTTGGGTTATATCTCATCATCGCAGTGGCATTCTGGGCCAGTCCTGGCGAGACCCTGGACAAGCCTCTTGGTATGCTTACTGGCCAGTAATCGAAATCACGAACTGGTTGGCTGTCGTTACAGAATTTTCTTTGTCTTCGTTTTTGCCTTCTTGTACAGTATGCTAGGGTATGGGCCTCGATGGCTTTTGGTGTTTGGCGTTCTGTCGGTACCCTGGGCGGTTCAGAAAAAGGGAACTGTATATTAGCATTACCCTTAGCGACGTGCGCCTGAGGTTTGGCCTGGTCGGTTGGCTTGCGGCTTTATTGGGGGGGTGGCCAAAAGGACAGCGAAGTCATTTTCCCGAGCTCAGCTACAGAAGTAGTCAGCCATCCATAATCTTCTTACAAGAGCATTGTCCCTCTTCCAGCATGATGGATCGAAGTGCTACATTGCAAAGTTTGATGTTTGAATGGTCAAAAGACATTCCTTTCCAATCCTTACGGCACAGCTATAGATCACGCCAATGCCTCAGGTCTTCGAGCCTCGGAAGAAGCAGCTCTTTCACGTCGTAACAGGCTCATGTCTTTCTCTTGGGAAGCCAGCCCCGTTTCTTCCGTCACATAAGTATCAGGGATAGGTCAAGACAAGGGGCGGTCGGTACGGAGAGCGGAGAGGAGCGGTGCTCATCAGACAAGCCTGCTTCTTGCCGCAAAACGGTTCCTTCCTTCTCCTAATGACGTCTGTTTTGCATCTGTACCGTCTACGTTATCGTCTGCACAAGGAGGAAGTTTGCAGCGATTGTCGGTTGAGCAATATCCTGCTCTGCAATATGGGCACCCTCCTAGCATAGAGCTGATACTGTTTGCGATCATCATGATGCCCATTGGAGAAGTTGGGATCCCCTCTGCTTTTATATCGATATAGCTGAAAGCCAGGCTAGAGTAGGTAAGTTCAGTAGCGGCTAGAAAATCCCCGGTGTCGTCTCTTTTTGTTCTGTTTTCGTCCAGTCATGAGGATACTTTTGAAGTCGTTACACATTGTGGTGGACAGAATGTGGAAACTTGAGGCTCAGTCTATAACGATGTCACTGACATCCCGTGTGTGTCAGACATGTCCTTCGACATGCTCGCCTACATGGTAACTCTGTCAAGTATGACCGCTCCGTTCCGAGTTGTATATACATGAATGGATTTGTCGCGGTGTTGTGGTATTGCGTTATGTAGGTACCCGGAGAGAGCTTGCGGCCACAGGTCGATGGGACTTCGTCGTTGGTCAGCCCGGGGAACAGCAGCATAAACGTGCGGTTGAACACAGAGGCTTGGAGACTCCGAGACCTGTCGGTTCAAAGACATACTCCAAGAACCCACCAGACGGAATTCGAGGTCTCCATCACGAGGCCTCCATCACGAGGCCTCCATCACGAGGTGCCTACCTAAAGGTCTATCTAACAGATGATATACTCTCATCAGCGGCACCCTCATTTACACTGAAGAGCTCTCACATCAAATGCGATAAGACCCGACGTCAACCATACTGTACTATGTCACAATATTAGCTTTTACTCTTGCCCTCTGCGCGCCTTGAGACTTTGTGAGCAGCCGTACGCGAACATGAATCTATCAAGCCCCCCTTACGCGACGACATAGCCATAGGCTTCATGAAGCAAGGCCTTTACGCTATTGACACAGGCCAGCTCGCGGGTTTGCCTGCCTGACTATGTATTACCTACCTACACAGTGCCACATACAGACATTCATCTCTTCATCTTGGCGACGGGCTTCCACATGAGTCTCCTCCTAACCATGTCGATAGCATTACGCGATCTGAAGCCCTGGACGCAACTTCTCCGTAGCTGGTTCCATCTCCAAAGCACCTCCGATACTACATTCGTGCGCCCTCCCTGAGTCCGATGACACTTGTTAACCAAACAAAGACACACGGGCCGTCTAAATGTGGTAATTGAGCAAATGGACACCACGAGCAGATGGAGACGCCCCAGCTATTACCTTTATTCTCATGGACGCCTTCTCATGAGGTTTAGATCTCCCAGCGGGTAGAGTTATATCTGAGAAACCGGCTTTAGGTAGGAACCTACCTACCTACCCAACTCATCCCTTGAATTTGCAAGACAGAACAGCGAGTGGCTTCTCTCTGACTCTACACCGAGGAAAACTCGGGTCCGTATCCCATCCAATATAATCGACATGAGGAATGCAAATAACAACCCGGGTAAAGTACAAGATTGAACTCACCTCCAGCCCCAGCCCCAACCCAGCAACCAAAACAACAAACACGACGAGCCCATCTTCACAGCATCACCACCAAGTATAATCTCACCGTCACCACCAGCCATAACACACCAACAACCATACACCACCAAGCACAGCACGGCACAACACTACCGGTCCCTACCACTGAGCTGATACCTACCTACATATCTTATGAATAGCACAAGTCACAACTCACACCACCCCGGCACAAAAATAAACCATCACCATCCCATCACTCTCACCATCAAAAATAGGAACCAACACCATCTCGATCCACCCAGGGGTCGAACCTGGAACCTCCTGATTACCTTTGTTGCCATCGTAGTCAGACGCTCTGCCATTGAGCCAGCGGACCCTGTCAATGAAAATTGATATGTGCTGCAGACCTTAATGCATCTCATGAGTCATGATACGATTTCTGCGATCCTGGGGGGTTGTGGGGTATGCAAGGGGGAGAGACTCAAGTGGCTGAGGAGGGTGGGATCTAGATCTGAGACGAGGAAAAGGGATTTGATGAGGGGGGATTGGTTCGGTATGGAGAGAGGCTAGTAAGAGGTTGATGATAATGTTCTTGGTCTAGAGAGGAGTGGCGATGACTACGAGTTCGGTATGAAAAGAAGCAAGGGGTGGTGGCGATACCAGCAGGCGAGGAGGGGAGAAGGTACTCGGTACTTGGAGGTATTGTGTACATCAACGGTCAGCCCGTCGGAACTTTGTTCTTTACCTTCCCCCCCTCCTCTCCTCAGCCTACCCTTGCCAGCATCCTCAACGACGTAGTATCCCTTACTCGCCGTAACTCGAAACTCGAAAGCCCTGTCGACCTAAGCGGCGGCGGTGGCGGCTAGCTATCTCCGGCCTCTCCTCGGCGACCACCCCTTAGCCGCACCCCTCGCCACATCATCAACCTCTTCCTTGGGGTAGCATGCATCTCAGTCATGTCTGAGATGAAGTCATGTCCACCAGGAGAGCCGCAGGATGGTAAATGGATGCCGGGATCAAGGGGTTGGGATCATCCCTTCAGCTCTTCTGCCCTCTGCAGTCGGGTTGATAGCCACTGGCCTCACGGCGAGCTGTGCGTAGACGCTACAGCCTACGCAACAATGACTGCCGCAATATCCCCACGGGGGGAGCTGCATATGGTGTGTTGACCTGCAGCTATCGTGGTTGCATCATGATCGAGACCGGAGCTGAACTGAGCTTTAGTTCATCTACCCGATAAAGGATTCTCCCCCTTGCAGCTATGCCGACACACAGAGCCGATGGTAACCCGTGGTGTCTGCGATGGCGTCAGCAGAGTGCGGTCAGCTCGAGGAGGGGCCAGGTAATGGTGTCGGCGTTGGCATTTAGGAGATTGGGTAAAGCAGCCCTGGCCTTTCTGCATGGTGAAAGTGCTGTCAGCTTGAAGCTCTGAGCCCTCGGTGCCCAAGGCGATGGCGGGTCGCGGCCCACTCAAACGGTGTCGACCGAGCTCTCCCCAGAGCACGGGGCAAAGATATGCAAAGACGGGATCAACCTGATACCCAGAGAAGGCCCATTCCCAAAACAACCGCCTTCGTTCAGCTGAAAGCTCAAAGCCTCATGTGCCCAAAGCGGACAGTGGCCACCCACGGTCCAGTCGAGCCGCTCTGGAATCATCAAGTGAGTAAATGCTATGCAGACGAGATGGGATGAAGCTGATACTCTCAGGAGACAAACCTCAGAGTCGGCGTCTGGTCTTGCCTAGTGCGATACCGAGGTTCATCCCGTCACAGACATCGCCACTCACCTCGTCTCAACACCTACAGCATCCGCATAGCCGAGGTCTAGCTGCTCCTTCCGAACCGTGAGAAGCCGGAGCCGCCCGGCGGCCGATGCTCCGACTCCCGTGGGCGATGTCCGCCATCCGCCCCTTGCCGACTCGTGCATTATCTGACGACTTGACTGTCTCACACGGCTCGTATCCCGCCCACGAGGCCCTGAGCATCTACTCGTCAACTCCCGAGACAATCTCGCTCCTTCTCCAGGGTTCCAGACCGGCCTATCGGCGTGTGTGTTTCCCAGACAAGTGCAGACTCTTGAGAAGCTAGCTGCATGCAACCCTGACGGAGAGGAGAAGGGAGTGCGACTCTGCCGTCAAGCGCGCGGTACTGGCTGCTCGATTTCTTGCGCGGAACACGGCACGCCGGTAGCTCGTCCCTGAAGCACAGGAGCCTGACGGTAGAGAGATGAATGATGAGGTCACAGAAATCAGTATCGACATGTCGATGGCCCCCTATCCCGTGCGCCACACCTCCCTAACGTGTGGCCGTGGCTACGAACCCGGCGAGATCACTACTGTGCGCACTGGCCATGGGTGCCGTTTTCTCCCACCGGACGCCTTATCGAACCCCCACTCTCTGCGGCTGGCGGGTTGACGTCTGTCGCGATGGTTTCATCGCTCCGGCTTTGCCGAGTGGAGCGAGGCCGAGGCCGGCACACGGGCCCGGAGCAGGCCAGGGCTCGGGTCCCGGGAATGGTTCGATGGGGTGACCCGCCCCTCCCCGCGCAACATTGGCTCGTCCCGATCGAGTAGCGTAGTCCCAGAGCGTGCGGACGGTACACTAACACACATCGATCGGGTAGGTCCCGCCCGGCGCTATCTGCGGCGTTACTCTGCCATCCGTCGTGACGTCGATTTGTAGTCGAAACTTGATCCAGAAGGACGTTTGCCGATCCAGCTCATTCGACAATCTCTCGGTCCCATTCTCGGTAAGCGCTTCTCTCACATGATGATAGATCGGCCAGCACCCTTGGGGGACGGCCGATGCGTGCGCCCCCACCCGAGAGCTTGTTGGTGGTGAGGTGTGCCTCTGGTAGTATGTTTGCTAAACTGGGCCATCGTCCATTCACATTGCCAGGGGCTTGCCGCCTGCATGCCACCGCCTACCTGCCGCAAAAGTGCATCACTAGCTTGACGACGAGCCCGAAATCCTACTCTGCTCAGCGAGGTGCCTGGCGCAGACAATCCCTAGTGCAAGAGAATCACGGTTTGATGCCGTGATGATTGCAGCAGCGACAGCATACCCAACAGTGTGGCATCTCTGGGCAGAGAGCGGCCATCGCCGAAACAGTGGATGGGCGGGCGCTTGAGCGGCGAAGACAGGCAGCCCGCAGCGCCACACCGAGCTTGGCTGCAGCAGCGTTGAGAGATTTGATAGACCGTCCAGGCAACGTGAATCCCTCTCATTTGCCAGGACCTCATTGTGCTGTGTCAGTGGTTGGTGGGAGACCATCTGCTCTGGTCCGTAAGCCACTGCGGAGTAGGTATTTGGCGAGGTGTGGATTGCTTGCTTTCCCTCCACCCGGACCTGAACTATCGTGATCATCGAGAGGTTGAATGCGGGAAACGTGCCCCGGCCATGTCGTCTCCCGGCATCCTCCCGTTGGTGTTGGCCAATGCCATCCCTCATCGCCTCCGCATTCTGAAGATCTGAAACCCACGCTGCACAACACCTGCGCCGTCTGCAAGGCTAGCTCTTGCTTCCAAGCCTGCCACAATTTGGGTAAGGGAGCGCCGCTGACCCTCTCAGATTGCGTCCTCTGTTGGACTGATGACGAGGCGTCGTTCCCACACAAGACAACGGCAGCACGAGAACGTGCCGTCTGGGTAGGACGAGGCAGCTCGACCCGTGTGGATCGCTGATGATTGACACCAGGGGTCGCATGAGCCAAGGGCCCAGCAGGGCTTGCGGGAGAAGCATCGCGGAAGACTGATGGAAGCCTGTTTTTTTGCAGCTGCTGCTGCCGTGGTGGCCATCCACCTCCTCGAGAGCCCCATTAACCGCCGTTATTAAGGAAAAGGCGTTCCAATGGAACCCCAGCAGTTAGAGTGTGAATCCTTTGATAAACTCAGCGGGGTGCGCTGTCCTTAGGTGCCGAAATAAGCCCAAGCTCGAGTGGGATTGATTGTCCCGTCGCATGGCAGCGCCCTTGACACCTAGCCCGCCCTTGAGTTGCATCCACCAAAATCTTCCGACAGCTTTGGGTTTCTTGCGACCTTGGTCCGCGAGGGGGACGCGGCCAATGCTGGTCGAAGCTGATCGCCCTGGGGCCTCCGTCGAAGAGGTGGCAGGCAATCTCTATACTTTGGTAGGGGGCAGGCAGGGGAGGCGGAACACGGCGAGGCACGGCTGCGCGCATCCTTGCCCTTCAGCTTGCCCTCGCATTGGCTTGGCGGTGCGTCGTGCAGGAATGATGGATTCTCCTGAAGCTGAGCCGTCGCTTCGATTGCTTCTGGAAGAGTTCTCGAAACTTTCCGCAAGGGGGATAGACGGCCATGGCAGCCCCCCCTCAACGCGACCACCCCTCCCACCCCTGACCAATTTGTGCCCGCTTTCAGCGTCGCCAAAATGGCCTTCATGCACGAACCAGTCGGCAACTCCACACGGCCAACCAGACACCAGGTCGTGAAGCCACGTTCGACCCCAGGATCTTCAAGGAGTCTGCTGCCAATCTTGCGGCCCCTGCCAGCTGCGAGCCCCTTTCGAGCTCCTGCATCGCTGGGCAGAGTGTCGTCGGCGGCAACGCTGGCCAGAGTTGGAGAAAACCTGCCGCCCCGTGCTCAGGGCCGCCGCGGGCGGGAGAGACGCGAACGCCAGAGTGGGCCACAACGTTGCGTCTTGCAAGTTGACGGGGACTTTGACAAGAAAGCTAGGGAGGGGCGCCGCCTGTGTTTCAACACGGCAGCATATTGCGGGGTGGATATGGTGAGGAGAACACCACGTCCCTAGATTTCGTACACGTGTAGAAGAGTGGAAGAAACGATCGAAGGAGTGGAGACCTTTCCCCTCTCCTGAATGGTGTCATTGGGAGATCTGGGAGGTGGTAGACCCGGCTGTATCTGGTACTTTGCCCGCACGGCGCGCCCTACAAATTTAAGGCTGACGGGGCAGCGTGTCCACGGTAGACGGAACACTCAGTGGCTTGAACAAGTACGAGGCGGTGCTCCCCCTGGGTGTTTCGTCGTTGACGGACAGGCAGCCTAGTGACACCGAGTCCCGTTTCTGGCTGGTAGGTAAAATTGAGCGCTTTTTATCCCCCGAACAGGCGCCGTCGATTGTGCGAGCAGTTGATGTGTATGTGTGGGTGGGTAGGCGGGTGTGTTGTTGTTCTCCTTCTGGCGAAGAGGTGCTCCATATGTCCGTGCAGAAGCGTCATCTCCGTTGAGACTTCAATCATGCTTTAGTTGTAACCTGAGTATATTGTGCCCTGAGCAATCAGCGCTGGCGGTTGAGAGCGGTGAAAATTTAGCCACTGGGATTTGTCGCCCATCCCACTCGGCTGCCAAGCTCTCCCACCAGCCCGGGCACGCTTGGCGATGGCCGCTCGACGATGACG